TCCAATGTTGCCCTCTGACAAACCCCAAACTGTGGGACACCATGCCTGTAGGCAGATGCAGGATTCCCCTCCATCCAGTAGGCACTGGGCCACTATGCAGATGGAATGGAGTCCGTTAGAGGAATTGTCCCCTCATGGACCCCATCAGTGTCTCAGCTGTTTGATTGGACGCTGCAACCTCTGGTGACCCTTGGCGGTTGTCTTGGTGTGGAACCGTATAAAATAGGGCCCCAAGCACCCCTGGAGCGAGCGGTAGGTCAGGGACCCTACTTGGTAGGAAGAGAGTCGGTCATCTGCCTGTGTATGCTCTACGCCTGAAGATTTGTGTGCCATGCAATCCATGGATTCCAGATTGTACAATCAGTCTATGGAGGAAGGTGGTCTCACATCCGGCGCCCGGCCGTACAATCTCGGCTCTGTCTACCGTCTTCTTATATTTATACATTACATAGATTATCAGAAAACGTTTCCTCTCAGACGGAAACGGGAAAATTCATTTTAGTAACATTTGAATTGGCTGCTTTTAGGAATATAAAACGTGGACTTCCTCACACCTAATGATACGTCTTCCCCAGAGAGCGTTCGTTTGTTTCTTTTACGACCCAAACTATTTTTTTTTTTTGGTTTGGTTTGGACAGCGAGGAAAGAAAAGTTTTCTATCACATTTTTATGTCTGTGCCTGGAGATTTTTTTCTCATTTCCTGTCTCGGTGACACCCATGCAACAAATTGGGGGAAGGGGTTGTCACCGGGACAGGTATATATATATATATATATATATATATATATTTTTTTTTTTTTTTTTAATTGTTCTAACCCCACCCCTACTAAACGTGTGTTTTTACCATCGCTTGGCAGACAACCTACATGTACAGTAGCCTGCAATACACATGTGGCATGCAGCACACCCACATGGAAGGAAAATATATTTGAAATATATTTGAAAAATATTCTTCCCAAATATATTGACATAGATTTGAAATGCTACAATTTTGGCCGTATTCAATATAGAAATATATTGAATACGGCCAAAATTGTAGCAATTTCAAATCTATGGTGAAACGCGTTTTAATTATGCATTTACAAATATATGTAAAAATGAGTTTTGTTTTAAAAATATATATATATTTTTTATATATTCTTCAGATTTATTTTTTTACCATATAAAAAAAAGTCATTTTACCATATATTTGTAAATGGATTCCAAAAATGTAGATTTGTATTTTTAAAGACATACAGTATATTTGAAAATGTATTTTTTTAAAAATATCTTTCATAAATTTTGTAATGAAAATGAATTTCAACATGCACTATATATATATAACATACATAAACACACAACACAACACACACACACAATATATATATACATACATACAACACAAATCATATAACATATAATATACACACACACACACATAAATATATACAAACATACACATACATACATATATATATATATATACACACACATATATATATATATACACAAACACATATTATAAAAAAAAAAAAATAAAAAACACAAATACAAAAAAACAACAAAATAAAACACACAATATTATATATATACACACACACATTATATATATACCCACACACACACATATATAATATACACACACACACACAATAATATATATATAAACACACACAAACATACAATATATATACACACACACACACATATATATATATACACACACACATATATATATATATACACACACACACACACACACATATACAGTCATGGCCGAAATTGTTGGCACCCTTGATATTTTTCCTGAAAAATCAAGTATTTCACACAAAAAAAGGTATTGCATTAACACATGTTTTGCTATACACATGTTTATTCCCTTTGTATGTATTGGAACAAATATAAAACAGAGGCACAAAAAAAGCAAATATGACATAATGTCACACAAAACCCCAAAAATGGGCTGGACAAAAGTATTGGCACCCTTAACTTAATATTTGGTTGCACACCCTTTGGAAAAAATAACTGAAATCAGTCGCTTCCTATAACCATCAATAAGCTTCTGACACCTCTCACCCGGATTTTGGACCATCTTCCTTTGCAAACAGCTCCAGGTCTCTCTTTATTGGAAGGACACTTTTTCCCAACAGCAATTTTAAGATCTCTTCCACAGGTGTTCAATGGGATTTAGATCTGGGCTCATTGCTGGCCACTTCAGAACTCTCCAGCGCTTCTTTGCCATCCATTTCTGAGTGCTTTTTGACGTATGTTTGGGGTCATTGTCCTGCTGGAAGACCCAGGATCTTGGACGCAAACCCAGCTTTCTGACACTGGGCCCTACAGTGCGACCCAAAATCCTTTGGTAATCCTCAGATTTCATGATGCCTTGCACACAGTCAAGGCACCAGTGCCAGAGGCAGCAAAACAACCCCAAAACATCATTGAACCTCCACCATATTTTACCGTAGGTACTGTGTTTTGTTCTTTGTAGGCCTCATTCCGTTTTCGGTAAACAGTAGAATGATGTGCTTTACCGAAAAGCTCTATCTTGGTCTCATCTGTCCACAAGACGTTTTCCCAGAAGGCTTTTGGCTTACTCAAGTACATTTTGGCAAACTGTAGTCTTGCTTTTTTATGTCTCTGTGTCAGCAGTGGGGTCCTCCTGGGTCTCCTGCCATAGCGTTTCATTTCATTTAAATGTCGACGGATAGTTCGCGCTGACACTGATGCTCCCTGAGCCTGCAGGACAGCTTGAATGTCTTTGGAACATGTTTGGGGCTGCTTATCCACCATCCGGACTATTCTGCGTTGCAATCTTTCATCAATTTTCCTCATCCGTCCATGACCAGGGAGATTAGCTACAGTGCCATGGGTTGCAAACTTCTTGATAATGTTGCGCACTGTGGACAAAGGCAAATCTAGTTCTCTGGAGATGGATTGTAACCTTGAGATTGTTGATATTTTGCCACAATTTTGGTTCTCAGGTCCTCAGACAGTTCTCGTCTCCTCTTTCTGTTGTCCATGCTTAGTGTGGCACAGACAGACACACAATGCAAAGGTTAAGTGAACGTCTCTCCTTTTTATCTGCTTTCAGGTGTGATTTCTATATTGCCCACACCTGTTACTTGCCCCAGGTGAGTTTACAGGAGCATCACATGCTTGTAACATTCTTATTTATCCGCAGTTGTGAAAGGGTGCCAATACTTTTGTCCAGCCCATTTTTGGAGGTTTGTGTGACATTATGTCGAATTTGCTTTCTTTCCTCCCTTTTTTTGTTTTGTCCCAATACACACAAAGGGAATAAACATGTGTATAGCAAAACATGTGTTAATGCAATACGTTTCGTGAGAAATACATGATTTCCTGGAGAAATATCAAGGGTGCCAACAATTTCGGCCATGACTGTATATATACACACACACACAACATATATATATATATACAAAAACAACAGCAGTGAGCATAAATAACAACCTGATCAACGGGCTGAGCACTATATAGCAACCAATACAACTTAAAAGCAATAACATATAAATAGTGCAGCACACTGAAATAGTGACAATATGACACAAAAAAATTGTCCACACTAAATACAGTCTTGTTCATATGAAACGGGCTCAGTATCCAGTGTCAGATGTGCCCCATCAGAATTGGTACCTGATTTCCAAAACACATGGCTGGAAAACGCACTCACCAGAAGTTGTCAGTCCGCCCTGCACAACATATAAACGCAGTGTGCATTTATTTAAATAAGCTGAATGGGTCAAAAATCATCCAGAGGGAAGTAAAAGCTGGTCCGGTTATATTTCAGGAATGGTTCCTCCCTCCTCCGGAAAATGCAAGAAGCACTTCCAGACAAAGATTTCCTTCCGACACTCTCGATTAGAAGTAGAATTCCAAGACTTCTCGGGTTCTGCAAGCAAAAGCTCCTCTGATGCAATGATGCACGTTTGAATGGAAAGTCAAAGTGAAAGAGCCTCGCTGTTGATGCCGGCATCAACTGCTGCATTTACTTGAGGAGGGACCCACCATTCTGGTAACCGGACCAGCTCTCACTTCCCTCTGGATTGATGACCCATGAGCTTTAAATGCACACTGAGAGTTTATGTGCACCTTTTTTTTTTTGAGTGCGTTTTCCAGCCATTTCCACAAAACGGATCACCCTTTTTCATGGCAGTAAGGTAAGCAGCGAATCGGAACAAACCCTTATGAAAAACTTTTTAAAAATTTTTTGTCATATTGTAACTTTTCAGATGCACTAAAATGATATACCTATGTTATTACTCACACACCAAAACAGGTGCTAGATTCAAAAATAACTGACCATTTAGTACAAAAATACGGTGTACAAAATAGTTCAGAGCCTATACACAGTAGGGCGCGCCGCCATGTAGGATGCTCATCTGGTACCTTATTCAAATATATCTTGCAATTTGGGAGGACACAGGGGCGGTATGATCCCTGCAGGATATTGCCCGGGGGGTTCAATGAGGCGGTCAATCTCTAAGCCACCTACAAGGTCTATTTTATCAACAAATTATTTCTGCATATTCAGCAAAATCATAACAAAATTGCGCCAACAGCGAGTCAGGGTGAAAAAATATTGTAAAGTGCATCATTGGCCCCATCTGTAATGGGGGGCCCCCAGAATTTTATCATAAACAGCCAGTCGTGGGGCGTTATCGGTGAAACTTACACTTCTGATTTCATCTCAAAAACTAAAGTTTGTCACATAATGTGTCTTATAAAAAAATGTGCATTCATTTGTAACATATCCGGGGGGGGGGGGGGCTGAGGGTGCTGAGGGTCCCCTTGCAGCCAATCAGTGGATGGTTGGCCTTCCATCTGATGATGTCTCCATAGATCCAGAAGAGCTCACTTCCTTGTCAGAGCCAGCTGGAGGGACCCAACGATCGTACGTAGAGGTCTGAAAAATGGGGGAATTCTTCCCACTGATCCCCAATGTAAGGGGCATTTTTCCCACTGACCCCCAATGTAAGGGACATTCTTCTAACTGACCCCCAATGTAAGGGACATTCTTCCCACTGACCCCCAATGTAAGGGACATTCTTCTCACTGACCCCCAATGTAAGGGACATTCTTCTCACTGACCCCCAATGTAAGGGACATTCTTCCCACTGACCCCCAATGTAAGGGACATTCTTCCCACTGACCACCAATGTAAGGGACATTCTTCTCACTGACCCCCAATGTAAGGGACATTCTTCCCACTGACCCCCAATGTAAGGGACATTCTTCCCACTGACACCCCAATGTAAGGGGCATTCTTCCCACTGACCACCAATGTAAGGGGCATTCTTCCCACTGACCCCCAATGTAAGACTCATTCTATTCTCACTGACCCCCAATGTAAGGGACATTCTTCTCACTGACCACCAATGTAAGGGACATTCTTCCCACTGGACCCCCAATGTAAGGGACATTCTTCCCACTGACCCCCAATGTAAGGGACATTTTCCCACTGATCCCCAATGTAAGGGACATTCTTCCCACTGACCCCCAATGTAAGGGACATTCTTCCCACTGACCTCCAATGTAATGGGGGACATTCTTCCCACTGACCCCCAATGTAAGGGACATTCTTCCCACTGACCCCAATGTAAGGGACATTCTTCCCACTGACCCCCCAATGTAAGGGACATTCTTCCCACTGACCTCCAATGTAAGGGACATTTCTTCCCACATGACCCCCCAATGTAAGGGACATTCTTCCCACTGACCCCCCCAATGTAAGGGACATTCTTCCCACTGACCCCCAATGTAAGGGACATTCCCACTGACCACCAATGTAAGGGAACATTCTTCCCACTGATCCCCAATGTAAGGGACATTCTTCCCACTGATCCCCAATGTAAGGGACGTTCTTCCAACTGACCCCAATGTAAGGGACGTTCTTCCCACTGATCCCCCAATGTAAGGGACATTCTTCCCACTGACCCCCAATGTAAGGGACATTCTTCCCACTGACCACCAATGTAAGGGACATTCTTCCCACTGATCCCCAATGTAAGGGACATTCTTCCCACTGATCCCCAATGTAAGGGACGTTTCCCATCCCACTGACCACCAATGTAAGGGACATTCTTCCAACTGACCATCCAATGTAAGGGACATTCTTCCCACTGACCCCCAATGTAAGGGACATTCTTCCCACTGACCCCCCAATGTAAGGGACACTCTTCCCACTGACCCCAATGTAAGGGACATTCTTCCCACTGACCACCAATGTAAGGGGCATTCTTCCCACTGACCCCCAATGTAAGGGACATTCTTCCCACTGATCACCAATGTAAGGGACATTCTTCCCACTGACCCCCCAATGTAAGGGACATTCTTCCCACTGACCCCCCAATGTAAGGGACACTCTTCCACTGACCCCCCAATGTAAGGGACATTCTTTGAGTCCCCTTTACATCTGAACCCCCATCAGAGTCCCCCCTTACATCAGGGTCCCATTAGAGCCCCCATATGTCAGGGCCCCCATTAGAGTCTTTCCTCACATAAGTATCCCATCAGAGTCCCCCCCTTACATCAGGGCTCTCTAAGAATCTCCATTACATCAGAGTCCCCTCCCCCCCTTTCCTCCCCTTTCATTAGGGTCCCCATCAGAGTTCCCCAATGTATTGTCCAGGTGCAGGCTGGGGGGGGAGGAGATGAAGTGGAGACCAAAGGCAGCCAATTGCTGACCTCAATCCTAATTCTGTGCACATTGAGGAGAGGTCATTGGCCCTAGCTATGGGGCAGATAAAATAGTTTTTTTTTTCAGGCCATAGGTCGGGGTAATCTATAAATCCTAATATATTATGGGGTAAGCCTTTATGACAGCCTGACCTCCGCTGTATTGTCATCACTGGAGCCACCATTGCCTGGCTGCTGCACACACCTCCACATCTTTCCAGACCACCACCACCACCACCACATCACCACCACCACCATCACCATCATCACCACCACCACCACCACCATCTCAAATCGGTTTTCAAAAAGTGACAGTCAACCTAAATCCACCAACACCGAACTTTGTCATAAGCCGCCGAGGATCTGATAAAGTGCATACGCTGCTAATACTATGTTAATACTTTATTGTAGTTCACCTCATATAACAGGCGAAACTTCTGCTCCTTCCAGGTCACGGCTCATTTCGCATATTCTTTTCGGAAAAAAAACGATCACCGAAAAGGGGAGGAGCCATGAAAATCGGCTGGTGCCATTGACCCACTAACAGAGCGAAAATCAGCTGATTATTGTTAGGTCCGAAGGCTAATGCAGCCCATACATGGTTTGAATTCTGAACGATTATTCCTCCGAAAATCAAAAACATTGTTCGCTCGGTAATCCGATGGTGCCATCAATGATTTTGAAAATCGGGCCGACCGAGTCATAAAGTTCCCCCCATATAACAGGCGACACTTCTGTTCCTTCCAGGTCACGGCTCATGTGCAAATTCTTTTCGGAAAAACGATCGCACGATTTCACCATCATTGAGTCGAAAATCGGTCGTTTTTCACAAATTTTCCAACGTGCCCGAATACCGAAAAGGGGAGGAACCACGAAAATCAGCCGGTGCCATTGACTCACATTGGCTGATTATTCTTAGGTCTGATTTTCGAATTCAAAATCGGTCAAATTTCGACCCATGTATGGCCGGCGTTAATACATTAATAGGAAGGTGGCTTCTGGGATAAGATGTGTCCAGCACGTTTTCCTTTTACACACCAGATGTACCTTCACTTGCCAAAAAATTTTAGACCAACCTCAATATATCCTAAAAAGTGCACCATGACCCCACAGAGTGCGGTCCATCAACTCAACTGGAAAGGAATGGTGTCGTAGAGCTGTCAGTGAGTTGGTAGGCTAAAAATTACCCCCCCCCCCCCATGAGGTAAGATGATGGGTAAAAGTTAGGATAAAGTTCTTAAAGAGTTGTAGATGATGAAGAAGCATGGAGCCCAAACCACTCGGGTAACTACCGTCCGATTTACAGTCATGTGACCATGCAAGATAGTGTTGAACCCCCATGGGTGTCCAACTGGTGGCCCTCCAGCTGTTGCTACAATTCCCATCATGCCTCTGCCTTTGGGAGTCATGCTTGTAACGGTCAGTCTTGCAATGCCTCATGGGACTTGTAGTTTGGCAACATCTGGAGGGCCCCCACTTTGACACCAGTGCGTGTAGGCCATCAACAAAAGAAGATGTTTGCATTTAGGGTATACCATTGGTTGGCCAACTAAAACGTTTGTAGTGCAAGATTATCAATAAACGTATACACCGAAAAGGAGGCGGATATTGCCATCAGGATTAGACACGGGCAGTTACGTTTAGTTCCAAATCGAAATTCGGAGCAATTTTCAGTGATTTGGAGATATGGATGTATCCGAATGACAATATTTAATATAACGAATTTAAACGAATCTGTAATAACGAAACTAAATTTGAATCAATTTGAATTCAAAGACACGTTCGAAAACAAATTTGAAAACAAGAATAGAATAAAATAGAACAGAAATGAAAGAAAACAGAAAGAAACAGAACAGAATAGAACAGAAAAAAAAAGGAACAAAAGAACAGAATAGAAAAGAGAAAAAGGAGAACAGAATAGAAAAGAGAAAAAGGAAAGGAATAGAAAAGAGAAATAGAACAGAATAGAAAAGAAAAAGGAGAACAGAAAATAGAAAAGAGAAAAAGGAGAACAGAATAGAAAAGAGAAAAAGGAGAGAAAAAAAAGAGAAAAGGAAAAGAATAGAAAAGGAAAAGAACAGAATAGAAAATAAAAGAATAGACCAGAATACAGTACAAAAATAATAGCATAAAACAGAATAAAATAGAATAGAAAATAAAAGAATAGAAAATAATAGAATCCATTAGAATAGGGTAGAAAAGATTAGAATCAAAAATCAAAGAATAGAATAGAAAAGAATAGAATCAATTATAATTCTCAGTAAGAGCTGTGAGAATGTGGAATAGACTCCCTCCAGAGTTGGTTGTGGCCGGCTCAGTGGGTTGCTGTAGGAAAGTCCTGGATTCTTTCTTGGATACACAGAATATAACTGGATATAACATTTATAGGGAAAGTAGATCCAGGGAATATCCGATTGCCTCTCGGGGGATCAGGAAGGAATTGTTTCCCCTGCAGGAGCAAATTGGATCGTGCTTTGCTGGGTTTATTGCCTTCCTCTGGATCAACTGTGGGTGGAGGATTATACTTTTTTTTTTTTAATGGTTGAATTGGATGGACTTCTGTCTTTTTTCGGCCAGACTAACTATATAAGACTCTGTAAGAATAGAATAGAAAATCGAAGAATAGAATAGAAAAGAATGGAATCAATTAGAATAGGCAGGCAGGTGGTGCCCTGGTTGGGATTCAAACCGACGACCCAGGCGGAAGTGCTTTCTTCTTTTGGTGTACGATTATCAATCAACAAGAGAGGCAAAAGGAAGAGGCCAGCGGTCCCCAAAAGCCCGCCCTACAAACATCGTACTTACCCAGCAGGGGCGGACTGACAACTCATGGGGCCCCCAGGCAATAGGGGATCATGGGGCCCCTGCGTCCTTGCCCAAACTCAAAAAAGCCTATGAAAAAAGGTACCAGGGAAAAAAGGACCATGGGGCCCCCTACTGACCCCGGGCCCTCGGGCAGTGCCCGAATTTCCAAATGGTCAGTCTGCCCCTGTTACCCAGTTAATGGCGCTGCCCTATGTGTCAAGGATTCAAAACGGATTTTATGACCGTCAGATAAATGAAAATCACCCAACGACTTCTCAAGGGAATTGCCCGATGAAAGTTTTTCTGAAGTTGTCAACAATAATTCACACGTCAATTGTGCAAAATTATTCACAAACTTTGGCAGAACACGATCATCTAGCAATCGCTAAAGACCGCAAACCGAGTGCAGGCCTCCAAACTATGGCCTTCCAGCTGCTGAGGAACTGCAAAAGGTCCACCATGCCTCGGAGTCATGCCTTTGGATGTCAGTCTTGCAGTGCCTCATGGGTCATGCAGTTTCTCAACAGCTGGAGGGCCGCAGTTTTGAGGCCGCAAGACTTAGTAGTTTTGGGCAAGTGTTCCTTCAGCCTACCGGGGCCAGTTTGGGCATAAACCGCAGGACATTTGACAGACCAGGGACCAAACCAGATCCAAAAAACCTGTAAACTAAGGAGAAACTAAGACTGAGGAATGTATATTAGAGGTTCCACTGTATTAAAATAAAAGGACTGAAGGGACTGATGTAAGAACAGTACAGAGATGATGTAAATCAAAGCAGCGAGCTTGTATTGCACATAGAATATTGCTACACTTGGACCTTTGGAAATGTGCTGAATAAGCAGGAATAATTCTCCAGATAGCTTGACAAAGATAATACGGAGACATCTGGTCTAAAAATATATATATATATTTTTTTTATGGAGAACTTCAAAATTGTGGTGGCCTAGAGCCTAGGTGAGCAACCTGTGGATCAAGACCCCAAATGGAACATGGCAAATTTGTGGTGGCCCAGAGCCTAGGTTACCAACCTGTAGGTCGAGAGCCCAAATGGAACATGGCCAACTTGTGGTGGCCTAAAGTCTAGGTGACCGACCTGTAGGTCGAGAGCCCAATTAAAACATGGCCAACTTGTGGTGGCCTAAAGCCTAGGTGACCGACCTATGGGTCGAGACCTCAAATAGAACATGGCAAACTTGTGGTGGCTCAGAGCCTAGGTGACCAACCTGTGGGTCAAGACCCCAAATGGAACATGGCAAACCTTTGGTGGCCTAGAGCCTAGGTGACCAACCTGTGGGTCAAGACCCCAAATGGAACATGGCAAACTCATGGTGGCCTAGAGCCTAGGTGATCAACCTGTGGGTCAAGACCCCAATGAGTTTCCAAAATAAAGTTTAATTGCTACAACACTTGGACCTTTGGAAATTTGCTGAATAAGCAGGAATAATTCTCCAGATAGCCTGGCAAAGATTATACCGAGACATCTGGTCTAAAAATATATATTTTTTTATTTTTTAATGGAGAATTTCAAACTTGTGGTGGCCTAGAGCTTAGATGACCAACCTGTGGGTCAAAAGCCCAACTGGAACATGGCAAACTTGTGGTGGCCCAGAGCCTAGGTGACCAACCTGTGGGTTGAGACCCCAAATGGAACATGGCAAACTTGTGGTGGCCCAGAGCCTAGGTGACCAACCTGTGGGTCAAAAGCCCAACTGGAACATGGCAAACTTGTGGTGGCCCAGAGCCTAGGTGACCAACCTGTGGGTTGAGACCCCAAATGGAACATGGCAAACTTGTGGTGGCCCAGAGCCTAGGTGACCAACCTGTGGGTCAAGACCCCAAATGGATCATGGCAAACTTGT